AACGTCAGGCAAATAAAACTCTTGTTCCAGTTATCGCATCTTCTTCTGAACTTCTGTTTCTGTTTTAGTACTCGGAAAACAACAAAGTTTGACGCAACCCTCCAGCTCCATATATTTCACGGTCTTCATGACACTTCCCGATGGATTTCGCCTCGAAGGTTAGCAGCTTTAACAAAATAATCACGTTGTTATTTTAGATTTTTATTGTTCTTAGTCCTCAGTTGGAGGAGGCAAAATTGTGTGACGGGATTACTGAATTGCAGTTACAAAATTATCTGATTCCCTTTTTGCCGCTCTCCTTCCTCGTTGACGATGACTTCATTGCTGGATTCTGTCACAGGGGTAATTTGGCTAGCTGTCATTTTGGTGACTTGTACTTCAGGTGTTGTAGACATCATCCCCCTGGCCCACCACAATGACCTCGAAGTGTTTGTACGAAAGAGTAAGTTCCTTGCTGATATTTGTATTTCAGCGGTTTTTCAGGGTTCTCCTTCTGTTTGACTTTTAAACCATCTTGCCAACTTTGCCCAACATGCTTTGCAAGTTGTGACAATTTGTTCCGTCTGGTGCGTCTGTACTTGCGTTAAATCGTCATCTCAGTAGATGTCATACTAAGTGTATTGCTCCCCATTGTCTGTTTGCTTATCAATATGGGTTCTGTTGGGATGCTAGGCCTAAGATGTGACATTTATTCTGTGTTGTCTGGTTCTTTTCGGTATGGTGAAGCAGTGCGCTTTTAGCAAGTGCCCGACGAGAGGTAAGTAAATGATTGGTCATCTACTGCACCCTGGTTCATTTGTCGTCACGACTTCATTTTCCCAGTTCAACAGGGTAGAGAGCTAAGGTGATTTTGCGCCGATGCTGTGCACGTTCAACTCTCAGTGACTCACTTGCTATAATCTAATTGAAGTGCAATTTACCACTACCCAGTAGTTTTTAGTAATCCTCTTAGATCGCAGCAGATGAGTCGGTAGCTGTACCGCGCTGGTATCTGCCGCCGAACTTTCCTTTGTCTATGTGCAGTGGTGGTGTTTAGTGGTCTGGCGTTTTCGAAGTACCCGATTTCCAAAAATCCAGTAATCCCAGTCTTGAATTCAATGAACAGCGAATATATCAATAAAGGCATCTTACTCGACTGCAGTGAAGGACTCCCGGAAAATCCGACAGCCTTTTAGCCTCTTGTATCCGTCTTATCTTTCCGTGTACGTGATTGTTTTTTAATACAAGAAAGCCAGCTAGTTCGGTCTTTATGATTGAATACCTTACGCGGACCGTGTCGTTTTCGCTTTTTCTGGTGGCCCCAACTAGATTTCCTATTATCATCTCTCTTTTATTATTGTTTAGATATGCTGACTATAAATATGTCCGCATCCGTCTACTCTGCCTTCGGTTTGGCTGGCGTCAAATTCATGTGCAACAACCGCAAAATGTATCGTAAGTTCCTTTATTGCTCCCCGCCTTTTGTGGAGACTAAATCTACTGGCTTTTGTAAAAGCATTGTGGTATCTGTCTATGTTGTTTTCGAGAGTATTCAGGAGTATAACTTCAAACCAGGCATTTTTCGGGAATTAGAGATATTTATTGAGGGAGACAGACATATAGGGGTATGAAAATTGCTGTAAGAAGTCGAGAACTGAAGACAGGTTGTTTGGACATTCGTTGATGAACGTTTGGCGACCGCTAACGCAACTCACTTGTCCCGCTCTCCCTTGGGTCTCATTTCTCTGGCCCTGATGGAAGCCGTAGCAGCTAGTAGTTTTAGGCAGATAGTATTGACGGCAAAGACGAGGGAGGCTGGGATGGCCATTTCTGACTTACTAGCCGTCCTCAGCCAGTCATATGACTGCTAATAAGTCAGAAACGGTCATTCCAGTCTCCCTTGTCTTTGTCGGCAATACTATCCAGAGGTCGTCTCGAATGAAACAGTTCGCACTCGCTGCGACATCACAAGGATATCCCAAGTTATCCACCTCACGAGTTCAGTGTTACTGTCTCCATCGGGTGCCGTTACCCAATACGAGGCGTCGAAGAGGGGGTCAGTCCAAAACCTGGCTCGACACAGTTTGTCAAGAAATTGAAGTAGTTCTCGGACCTTCGGCATTCCGTTGCGACCGTTGACGAAGAGAATGAATTAATCTGCCCAAGTCTGCTGTCGCGAATCCTCATTCACGGAGAGGTAAAACCTATGACATCACCGAGGCCGGCTAGGTCAGTCACGATCGCAGCCGTAACAAGTACAAATTCATAACCACGTTATAGGTATAAGAATAGCAATTTAGCCATCACGGAACTTAATCATATTAGACACTCTGAACTCCTTAACACCGTATTCTCAGACAAAGAGTTCACGATGAAGGAAGAAGAACATAGGAACTGGCCGATTTTTCCTAAGGTGCTCGTTTGTTGCGAGGATTGTTGCTACTCACAATTAAAATGCCCAGAAAGGTAAGTAATTAGTTTTAGCTCCAATAGGTAACAAAAGAAGTTGCGTTAGGACGCCCTGCAGCCTCGTCGAATCAAACTGACAACATGCAAGCCGCGACTGTCCACAGTCCCCAGCTTTCTTTCTTAGGCGTGGCGTTCGCTGATATAGTCCGCTTACCTGACCTGCTGTTTTGTCTCGCAGGCCTTCGCAAGCTGGCTTATTAAAGCAAATAAACCGCAACTAGCCACTCCACTCCTTGCCTTTTTCTGTAATACCTCGCAATCGTTAACTGTTATGACCCGAGCCTGGTACTTGTAATTTGCACGAACTGCGAGCTTGCCCGACGGTTGTTCCGAAAACCAGCACGGCAGACGAAGAGAGGGCAGTCGATCACGTGGAGAGTCGTCTTAACTAAATAGCAAGTCATTCGCACAAAAAGGCTGTGCATATTGATTGACCTGCTTGATGAGAGGGTGTCGGGAACATGGACAAATCAGAGCTGACGAAAGATTGACAGCCACGGTCTAAGTGCGCGCTCTCATAACAGCATGACGCTATGCTCCTATCCTCCCCTCGCATATTGCCAATTCCCTTCTGTAGACTTCAACATTCACCTGGGCTGGCCTACCTTCAAGCGGAACGATAACGCACACATGCGTCTGCGCAACTTCTTTACCAGTGAGGAGGTCACTTCACGTCGGCCTCCTGGTCCCTGCGTGGTGCGTTGGGCCGTGAATAAGAATATTGATTGGACACGGGCTGAAAATGGTGGCCTCGCCGAGGCTCCGCACCCCTACTCTTTGGCTCGCTTTCTAGCCTCAGATTTCCGCATTGTAAGTTCTGCTTGTTTTGCTTCTTTACGTTATTTTGCGCTTATTGCTGTTCAGTTTCCCATCAAAACTGCCTCGCTGTTGCAGGAACACTGAGGTATGTAGCACGCGTTGGACATAGACTTCTTTCCAGAGTATGCCCGCAACATCGACATAGGTCGCTGAATCCACCTTCATGAGATTGTCCAATTAAATTTCCGAAACAGGTAGTTTAAAGCTGCTTCATATGTCGTACCGTACTGTCTTTTTGTTGGAAACCCATTCCTGCTGTCTGTCCTGTTCTTACCGACAAAAATCTACTTATTTTCCCTGTAATTAGTAATGCTTATGGGGATTCTATCTTTTTTCCAAAACTAATAAATTAAAAGCTTTCGTTAAATTTTTTTCTGCTGTTAAGGTTGAGTAATAAATAGATTTTCGAACACGATCTGTTATTATTTAGTCGTTTTGTTATCAGAAATCAGTTATCTACGCTCTGTATGTTTCAATATAGGGGCGTCCCGACAGTTTTGGTCTGTGCCACTATATCAGTGTGCTTTTAAGTAAAGGCCTCAAAACGTCTAAATTGTGGTGTTTTGCGTAAACTTATTATCATTGAGTCGGCGCTTATCCGAAAGAATACGGAAGCACCGCCCGGCATCGCTGAAAAAAGATGAAGTCATGAGCACAAACAGCGCCATCCTCACACACATTGTTGATTCCGGACATGGCGTGGACTCCAGCGAATCCTTCCGGTGATTCTTAAGGTATCACCAAACTGTCCAAAGTCCCTGGGTCAGTGGCTGTTAGCAATAGCACATGCGACCGCTATCAGGTTGAGAAAGTTGGTCTTGTGTTCATAAAAGAACCTGCAAGCTCTGCTCCTGGCATGACCAATGGTCGCTTAACTATATGCACTCTTCCGCGCTCTCTCGCCCCTTTCCCCCTGACCGGCTTCACGAAACCCTCATCGCCGCGTATGCAGCCTTCGTTTTCGTACGTTCGCCAACTGCCCTTCTAAATTCTCTGATGGAAATTTTTGAAATTTCAAAACTAAATACTTGTACAATTATAATATGTACTGAGTCTTCTGACAAAGGTGAATG